GAACAAGAGGAGGTCAGAGATGATGAGGGCCAAGGACAAGACAGAGCCAGGGATGTGGCGGACAGTGGTCAGGTCGGGAAAGGCCTTTCTAAGGTGAAGGGAGAGCTGAGAACCCCGAAGACAAAAGGGGCCAGCCACGTGGAGACTAGAGCAGAGCTTTCCAGGTAGGACATTGCAAGGGCCCGAGGCGGCAGCTAACTCGAGGTGCTCCAGGAAGAGCAGTTCTGGACAGTGTGGCTGGGGGGGAGAGTGGGGAGGTGTTGGGTGGGGTCTAATCACCTGGGTCAGTGTGTCCCCACCTTTCCCATGTGGCATCACATGTGGAAACCGATGACACCCGTGCCCCTTTCCACCAAGGCAGTTGGAAGTCGACAGCCACGGGCTTCAACCAGGATGCTTGGTGCCCCACTGCAAAGGCCCTCTCCACATTCTGCCCTAAGGGGGTCTCTTTCCCTGGATTTTGCAGGGCACAGAGAGCCAGGGCAAGACTGCCCTGGAGCCGCCAGTTGCCCAGCTGGCTTCCCTGGGGCTGAGAAGAACCTGATCTCTGTAAACCCGTAACCCACGTGGTCCTACTGTGAGTTCCAGCCCCTGGGCCGGAGAGTGCTGGTGGAGGGCCTGTAGACCACGATAATGAGTTTGGATTTACTTACATGGCCATGAGAACCCATTAGAGGGTTTCCAGCCAGGAATTAATGTTAGCTGATAACAGTTCTTAAGGTTACTTTGCAGGACCCATGGGAAGTGGCAAGGGAAAGGGGAGCTGGGGATCGGAATTGTAAGTGGGGATCGGAATTGTAAGTGGGGAGCGAGGCAGCAAGCACAGACGGGCACCGTTAGCTCCAGACCGCAGTGTGAATAGCGCTTAATGCTCTTCCGTTGCCAGCTTTTAATGCTTGGTAACTTTTGAACAGAGGCTCGAACGTTTCCATTGTGCACTGGGCCCAGCAAACTGGGCAGTTGCTCCGACTGTGGTGGGTAGAGAGGTGACCGCAGCAAGCTTGGGGGAGCCCACCCAGAACGACAGGTTCAAAGCAGAGTGAATCTGAGGCGGCAGTTGCTTGTGACTTCACACATGGGCAGTGCTTCGAGAGGTCCCTGGGTGACAGACGGGCTTTACAAGCGTTAGCTGTGAGAGTAATGAGAGTTATTACAGGGAACATTTTGGAGTGGGAGGTGGGAGGGGCCTTGTGCTTCAGTCTCAGGGGAAAGAACAGAAGAGGCTGGGTAGGGACGAGCGTTTTCCTGGGAGCAAAGTGTGAGCCCCGAGGGGGAGCTCGGTTTGGAACTCGAAGGGCAGCGGCTGCCAGCCACCTGCAACAGCGAGGGCCCTGGGTTTTGGTTCCAGGAGTCTGACCCCCGCCCTCTCCATGTGGCCCCAATTGTCTGGCAGGGGTAGGAGGCCAGAGCTGTCAGCTCGGATGCCCCTGAGGCCTGGGGGGAGGCCTGGCACACACATGAGAAGGCAACAGTGCATATTGCCACACACACCTTCCCTGTCCTCGTTCTGTCGGATGAAGACATCACACAGCCTGCTTCCAGAGTGTGGCTTCGGGGCCAGTGTAACCAGACGGGCAGTGCTGGGATCTCACAGTGCACTGTCACTACTCCCAGTGCTATCCCTTCCTTGCCATTTGTCACCTTGAAAAGTGTTGGAGGGAATTAGCCATGTTCTGGGACGGAGGCCCAGGTCTGTTTAGCAAGACTCGTGGTGTTGTGCAGATGCCAGGAGGACAGTGGCATTATACCGGGCAGTGCCCACTCCACGACAGAGTGGGACATCGTTCCGGCTGTGTACTGCCGAGTAACAAACTACAAAAGTGCCCCCAAAGTTAGTAGCTTAAAACAACGGCTATTTTATTGCATCTCACGATTTTGTGGGTGAGGAATTCAGGCATGTCTTGGTTGGGCAATTCTTTTTCCACGTTGCATTGACAAAGGCCAGTCCATGGAATTCAGCAAGTAGATGGGTGGGCGTCCCAGGTGGCCTCACTCACGTGCCTGACCTCTAGACGGGGTCATTGGCCACAGCACCTGCAGACGGTGTCTCTCACGTGGCGGTCCGGGGCAGCCCCGCTTCTCCTGTGGCAGTTCACCGAGTATTTCAAGGGGAGAGGTGGAAGCTGCCAGTCCTGTAAGGCCAGAGCCCGGAAACTAGCACAGTGTCACTTCCACATTATCCTAGTGGTCAAAACAGTCAGCCAGTCAAGGGGAGGGGACTCACATCTCACCTCTCAATTGGGAGGCTTGCCAAAGAATCTGGCCATCTTCATGCTGTCCTGAACACCAGCACAAAGAATTACAGTTCCGTGTTATAGAGGATATGCCAAAGGCAATGTAATTACAGAGAGAAGAGGGGGCCTGATTCTGTGCAGGCATGGGGGGCAGAGGGAATACAGGTAGCTTGGGGGAGAGGAGAGTCAGGGAAGATGAGGTGGAGGTGGTGACATTTGAGTGAGGTCATGAAGACAGCTGGGACTTGTCAATCACGATGAGGGAGGCCTTCCCAGTGGTGGGAACAGCATGTGCCTCTGCACAGGGTATGGGAGTGGTGTTGTGTGTTGGGAGCGCAGTGCCTGGAGGAGTGGGGAAGCAGATGAGCCTGAGGAAGCAGGTAGAGAGAGACCATGTTTTTCAATAAGAAATTGGGTGATTAGATTTGCATCGGAGAAAGACCTCTGTATTAATGTGGGGCACGGGGTTGGGGTGGCAGGAAAACCAACCTCTTGTAATAATTTTGACTCTAATTCCTGAGTACCTCTGTCAAGACAGTGGCAGTGGGTGACAGAGAGGGGACAGATCCGGGAGCCGTTTAGGCGGCAGAATCAGTAGAACCTGGCGCCCAGGCTGACGTGAGGGGTGCGCAGGAGGGAAGGGGATGCAGTGCTCAGCAGGGTGGCTGCAGTCAACAATACCGTACTGGATATTTAAAACTTGCTAAGAGAGTGGGTCTGAAGAGTTCTCATCACAAGAACAAAATTTTGTATGGGAGGGGCTGGATGTTAACTCCCTGTGATCACTTTACAATGTATACACGTATCAAATCATTACATTGTGTACCTTAAATGGATACAATGTTATATGTCAATTACATCTCAGTAAAACTGGAAGAAGAAGAAAAACATTTTTCTACATGGCCATAATCAAGAAAATGAACAATAATTCCCTAACAGCATTTATATTCAGTCAATATTAAATTCCTATAATTAAGCCCCAGATGTGTTATGTTGGCTTGTTTGAACCGGGATGCAGTCAAGGACCATGTATTCCATTTGGTTACGTCTCTTTGGTCTTTTTTAATGTATAGTATCCCCCCTTCTATCCAGTTTTCCCTCAGATAGTGACCTTTTTAGAGAGATCGACCAGTTGTCTTGAGAATTCTAGAGACTGGCTTGTGAATTATTTCCTGGTAGTGTCGAACAGCTTGTTCTCCTGTTAGCTACATTCTGTAACCTGGAAATTAGGTCCAGAGGTCTGATTACATTCAGGTTAAAGTTTTTGGCAAGAAACTCTGATGTTACAAACTTCATATTGCATCCCATCAGGAGGCACACAAGGTCAAGTTGCCTCATTGTTAGTGACATGAAGTTTAATCATGGGTAGGAAAATGGCTAGACTCTTTATGTTTCTCCATAGTGTCTGAAAAAGGGCTGGGCCTATGGTAATGTGCAGTAGATACAGTCGGTTCTTGTTACCGGCAGTAATTATGTACTATAAAGTCTCTGTGAGGATTGAGTTAGGGAAGACCGAGCCACTGCTTCCGGGGGAAATACAAGGTTAGGTTGCTGTGAGCCTCCGGCCACATTTTCATCAACTAATCAGCACAGAACCTTGTTTTATGTTTCTTTTTAAAGGCACCTTATTTAATACACATTTTTGATTCATTAACATTGAACTCACAGCCAACAGCACTCTACCACATTCCTGAGTCAAGCTTATATAACACACGTATATGTTTTTTTCCATAAAGAACAATGGCCAGCATTTCAGCACTGTGCTTGAGGGCCATTTTAAACAGAGAAATCAGCAACACAAAGAGCAGAAATGCAGAAAACCATGACGGTAAACAGGCAGTGAGAAGGACACTTGCTTACAGTATGAGAGTGGGCCTCAGCTGGGAACATGCGTGTTGGGTGACTCAGCTTTTTCAAAGATCTGCATGTGTCTCTGTATAACCACTTCAGAGCCACCAAGTATTGATTTGGGGGTTACAGATAAACTTAGGAAGTATGGAATCTTTGGATAAAGAGGATCGATTAAATATGTTGGAGTACATTGTAGCATCCAGCAAACTGGAGAACAAATATCGGAGACTTTCAGGGTATCAAAGATGTTACTTTATTGGCCAAGTTTAACCTGCGCAGGGGCGAACTCTTAAAGTGTCCAGCGACACAGTGCCCACAAGGAGCTGCAAATGAGAGCCGTGCCGAGCGCTTACAACTACGTTCTTATATAGGGGCGGGCAAGCAAGCGTTATACAGAAGCAGACGTAGCAGTTAGCAATTTGCTTACAAAGACCGCACGTGGGAATTTCAAACCAAGCATTCTTTCATAAGGCGGGAAGGCAGGATGTTTGTTCATTAACCTAGTAATCTCCTGGCTCTAGCCAGCTAGTTTTCTATTTTCTCATTAAAAACTACAAAGCACTACTTATCTAGCCTACCCAGGGGAGAGTGTCTGCTAGACACAGGATGTTTGCTTTAACTGTACTTTGTCTCTTTTATCATTTCTTTTTAGCTACAATGTGGTTCTTGTCTATTAAGGTTAAATTTAGTTCTTAATTTCCTTGTTCCCAACGTACATCACTGGGAACTATCTGTGTGACCTTGGGTCAGTCACATTGCCTCTCTGGACTTCGTTCCCCTTACCTGTCCTGCCACTGGGCAGTGCTTGAGCTTTCTCCCAGCCCTGGAGTCCCCAGCACTGAGTGGCAGTGGGCTTTTCTCCTGGTTCGTCTTCCTGTGGTTGGAGAGATGTCGATCGCTTTCTTTTCCCTGCAGGTTTGTGGATTTCCACGCAGCCGCCTCCACCTGCTCACCCTCCCGGGCTTCGCTGCTCACTGGCCGTCTGGGCCTTCGCAATGGAGTCACACGCAACTTTGCGGTCACCTCTGTAGGGGGCCTTCCGCTCAACGAGACCACCTTGGCCGAGGTGTTGCAGCAGGCTGGCTACGTCACCGGGATGATAGGTAACACCGGCGCCCCGCAGCCTGGACCCCCGTCTCCCACCGCATTTCCTGGCCTGGCTGCTTCGTGTTTGTGTGGCCCTAACATGCTGCTGCCTCACTGCTCACGTTTGCATTGTTGCTGATTTCTTGCTGTGTGAGTTAGGAACGCATTCCGCTGTAAGTAATTGCAAAGACTTAACCGTGGGCTAAACCAGATATGAACTGTTTTCTTCTCATTCTGATAAACTTAGAGGTAAGTGATTGCTTTCGCTGGCTCAGCCACTCAAAGAAATCGTATCTTTCTCCTCTGCTGTCCTTACTGTGTTGGCTTTTGTCCTTGTGTTTGCTGCCTCAGGGTTGTAGTAGAGCCGCTTCAGCACCATTCACCATACTTTGGCTTCAAGAAAGGAAAAAGGGAGGGAGGGCAGTTCACTTTTATCAGGAAAACAAATCCTTTCTCAGTCCCAGAAGTGCACTTAAGTCTTATTGGTGGGAGCTGGGTCACATGGCCACCCTTTGTTGCAAGGAAGGCTGGGAAACGGGGGTTAGGATTATAATGATTGATTTGGCCTCAGGCACAGGTCTCCAGCTCCCTGAGCAGAACTCAGTTCTAAGAGTTAGATGAGTGCTCCCTGAGCAGAACCACAGTTCTGTGAGTTAGATGAGTGCTCCCTTAACAGGACCGCAGTTCTACGAGTAAGATGAGTGCTCTCACGGGTGTAGGGCAGGCAAACAGCAGCGTCTGCCGCAGGGTCCAACAGCTTTCTTTTCTTTCTAAGTCAGCACCTCTTCCTTAGTATTTGTTTTGCGCCAGGCTGAGTGTTTATTTGCACCAGGGCATGGTAGTACTTTCTGAGATTATGATTTCCCCCTTGTCTAGGTGAGAAAACTGAGTTTTAGACAGGAGTTGTTCAGTGTTGCCTGGCCTGGAGCTGGTAGGTGTCGACAGGTGTGCCTGGCCCAACTTGTTCTCACGCTTTGTCACATTGCTGGTCTTCCCTGCAGGGGAGATGGCAACCCAGCCGTCCTCACAGGCTCCTCAGGCTGCCTGTGCTTGTTATTCTGACTGCAAGAGCTGGATCCGGTGGGAGGCCTGCCTCCTGCCACAGTACGTGCGGTGGCAAGGGAGGGTGTGCTGACAGACAGCCCTGCAGCGGGGGTCCCACTCTTTTTTTTAAATATTTTATTTGTTTTTAGAAAGAAGGGAAGGGAGGAAGAAAGAGAGGGAGAGAAACATCAATGTGTGGTTGCCTCTCACGCGCCCCCTACTGGGGACCTGATCGCAACCCAGGCATGTGCCCCAATTGGGAATTGAACCGGCGACCCTTTGGTTCTCAGGCCAGTGCTAAATCCACTGAGCCACACCAGCCAGGTGGGGTCCCACCCTTTAGATCTCGGTGCCATATCCATTTCTTTGCCCCTTTGCCTTGTGGGTCATTTCGCTGGGGTCTTTACTCAGAGCAGAATCAACAGGTCAGAGAGTTCCAGTATTATCAGAGCTGTTGGTATACATCACCAGTTACTCACCCCAAACCCTGGGTGTTTACAGAGTGAGGAGCAGCAGTGCATCTGAGCTTCCTCATTTGCAGCCTGATGGGTGTCTCTGCATTTGCACTGCAGTGGGAAGGCAGTTTCTTGTTCATGGTCTGCAGGCTGCTGACGGTGGCCAGAGAAGAAGATGATGAAACCAGGCAGGAACCGGGCATCTGAGACTAGGTGGGGCATGCACCTGCACCCTATGCAGGGCCCCAGCCCAGGAAGGCCGAGTGGAGGGTGCAGTGGGCTCTGTGGGGTCACAGCGGGTACCAAAACCTCTCGGAGGGGAAGAAGCTCAGCCTGCTGGCTTCTCTGGGCTCCCAGCAGTGGCTTGAATTTCCCTTTCCCTGTGCCTGTGTAGCTGCTGAGTCATCCTTGCTTGCTTTCTGTCTCCCTGTGGACTCCCTCGGGGTCCCACAGAGCAAGGCTTGGCTTTGACACTGTGTTTACAGCCTCTCTTGTCCTCAGTAAAGGGCAACGCTGATGGAGAACTGAGTGTGTGATCAACTCCCCAGAGGGGCTGGGAGCCCCATGGGGATTCCTCTGAAATTCTCTCTCTTGTTTTCCTACAGGCAAATGGCATCTTGGGCATCATAGCTCTTATCACCCCAACTTCCGTGGTAAGAATTCTCTGGGGGATTTGTTACTTGGGAAACAGAAAATAGGGACCTCCATATAAAAAGACCTCGATAATGTTTAAGCCTTCCTGCTCTCGTGGGCATCTCTCTTAAGTCAGAATATCTTCATTTGCAGCATCACTTGGGCGCATTGGGGTGCCTGGGCCCCCCTCGATCTCACATCCCTCTCCCCCAGCACCTTTCCTGTCCCCTGTTCTTGCTTCCCCACCGTGAGCCCCAGTGTTCTCCGTGACCTAGAAACTCCTCCACCTTAGGGAACCTTTGGCTGCTGTGAGGTCCAGGCACATCTAGTGTGGTGAGAAGCAAAACCCATCCAGTGGGTTCACCGAAGCAGGGACCCTGGCCCTGTGGGCCCTGGGGAAGGAGGAGGAAAATGCTGCGGGAACTTCTTACTAAAGCTCAGGTTGGAGAAGAGACAGGACGAGGGAGGATCTCAGGAAAAAAGTCAACACCACGTCTTCAGGTCTCAGTTTAACTCTCACATCCCCCCGACCCCCACCTCACCCCAGCGCCCCAAGCCCAATCCCGCTGGCCTTCTGAGTCCTAGCTGGAATGCCATCTCTTTCTAGAAGCACTCTGAGATTTCTGTCCCGGTCCCTTCCTCCTCCCAGCAACTGGGGTTAACTTCTTCCTCTGATTGCTCTTGTCGGCTTGCTGGTTATCCGTCTCCTACAGTTTCGTCTGTGTATCTTATTTTCTCTTCAGACGAGAAGTCTTCTGAGGGCAGAATTTGTTCTTTTATCCCTTAAAGTGTCATGCATGTAGTAGATTTTCACCAAATACTTTCTGAATGTGTCAGTAATTGCACTGGGGGTGGTCAGCGTTTAATAATTCTCTTTACTTCCTCCCACTTTGGGCTAACTAATCGCAAGATGGTTTGCAAATCTGGCCTTCTAGCCGGAACCCAGCAAAGTGTTTTCTTTGCATACTACAAAAGGATATTCATCAAATCCTCTTTTAATTACATACTCCATGGCACTGCAGTATTAAATCGTGGAAAATTAAATTTTTCTGCTGGGCGTAAGAATGCAGGCTTCTAGAACAGATGCCAGGTGGGGGTGCTAACCAGTGGCTTCTCTTCCAGGCTTCGACTACTACTTCGGGATCCCATACAGCCACGACATGGGCTGCATGGATACCCCAGGCTACAACCACCCCCCTTGTCCGGCATGCCCACGGGGTGACAGACCATCAAGGTAATTCGCCCCGGGATGCAGAGCAAGGAGAAGCCCTGAGGGTGTGGTCCACGAGGAGTAAGTGAGAGAGGCTGACAGGGCACAGTTAAGGCATCAAAAAGAGCGAAAGAAAACTCTTTAGCAAAGGTGAGGGCAACGACATTTCCTTATTGGAATTTGCCGGGTCACTTGGACTGTTGAGCTCTGCTGGGCAGAGCCAGGTACCGCTACAATCTCACAAGTGGGGCTCCTCCCCTCCTTCTCTGCCTGCTGGCTTTGCTCCTGGCCCGCTGACCTGGGCCAGACACTGGACGTTGGGAGGGACAGAGAGAGAGAGACAGTGTGCAGGGCTCCTCACACGCTTCACCCCACTCCCCACCCCTGCTAAGACACCTTCTGCCATTCTGCCATTGGAATGCCCTGCAGGCACGAAACAAGAAGTTTTCAAAACATATTCAGTGACACAGGGAAATGCTCACGATATAATAGTAAGTGAAAAAGGCAGGAAAGAAATCATCAACAGCGTGATCTTAACTGTCGCTGTATTTATGCCTTTATAGCCCCGTCTGTCGAGAGACGCTCACAGGAAATATGCCAAGGTGGTAACAACGGGTCATTCACTCCAGTTGTGGGATTGAGGGGCTTTCATTTTTTTCTTCTTTCTCATGCTGTTTTCCAAAAGTCAGTAATAGCATGTAATACATTAATTAGCAGGAAAAGGTAGTAAACGCCACTCAGGTAATGAAGCAACGCAAACCATGTATTCTGTGCACTGGGGTTATTTATAAGGCTGCAGGTGTTGCAGCTGCTTGGGGAAAAGCAGTCTCAGCTGGCTCATTAATAACACAATAGTTAATATAATACAATAATGGGATGGCTGCTTATTGAGAAAGTGTTACATTCTAGACACTCTTTATACTTATTTGTAGTCCGCTGAGTGGGGCAGGGACTTGCCTGGGTTCTGCAGGTGAGGAAGTGGACCTTGTTGCCCAGGTCACCCTGGAGCCATAAGAGGGAGGGGTGGAGACTCAGTGCGGGTGTCTCTGAGTGCTGAGCCCGTGTCTTCTTCTTGATCCTTACTCCTCAAACTGTGGTGGCCGGACCAGCAGCATGGGTGTCACCTGGGCACCTGTTAGAAGTGCAGAAGTTCAGACCCCACCCTGAGGCCTGCATTTTAACACGATGCCAGGGGATTCATGTGTTCACTGCAGTGTGAGCCGTGAGGTGTAGAACAGCTCGCCTCCCTCCCTGCCTGGGGCACCAGGCGGCCTAATTGAGGTATGGCAGGTGCCAACCAGTCCCCTTTAAGTCCACATTAAATCAGATGGGTGACGGGGGTGGGGGGAGCAGAGAGTAAAGCAGGGATCAGTGGTGATGGAAGGAGACTTGAATTGGGGTGCGGCTGGGGGTGAGAGTGTAAATGATGGTAGAGTTGCAGTGAAATCATAAAAAGCTGAAAAATTTAACACAAATGTTGAGATTAGCATTGTCATGCCCAGTATGATGATAACTTCTTTTTTCTTTTAAAAAAATTATGGTCCTTGGAGATTACCTACCCCAGTCTGACCTTGTCTCCTAAGCTCTCATGAGTGCGTTTGCATACAGGTGTGGTCGTTTTTTTCTCAAGTCCTCCACCGCACCGCGAGGACCATTTCTCTACCAGAGAGGCCTCCCATCACCGCCCCCTCGTTGTGCACGTCGCCCTCCACCCCCAGTCTTCTCCATGGTTGTCAGCGTCTCTCCTGGTTCTCTGTGGCACCCAGGACAGAGCGCCTGAGTTTCTGCTGAGCTTCTGGAATGGTGATCAGTGTGCAAAGCACTAACCATTCATTATCTCATTTAGTCCTCCTAATGTCTCTGGAAGAGGGCACAGGCAACCCCATGCTTCACATAAGGCAAGTCAGGCTCTGAGAGCTTAGCTAACTTGCCTAAGGTCATAGCCAGATCGTTCCTCAGCCACTGTGTTGGAGCATTCATGTGTCAGATTGATTTTGATCCGAATGATGGAGGGCTGGGTTTGTTTTTTTCTGGGAGAGAAGTATTGGTTTGCCCTCCATTTTTTTCCAGTTGCTAAAGTTTCTCCAAATTCTCTAAACATGGCTTGAAATTTTAAAATTGTCCCTGGCCATCTGTTCTGTTGTTAGATGTTGTGCCACATGAAGTTAATGACTTAGGAAAATAAGTCAACAACCAGCGTTGCATCCCGAGGACAAGTCATCGGTTGGCAGGGACGTTGGAGAAAGCCAGGATGGGGCTGCTGATTGGCCGTGGGGCTCTGCTGGAGTGATGTAGTCTGTTCAGACCCCAGTTTCTCTCCTGGCCAAATGGGAGTAATAATGTTTCTAGCTCACGGGGGTGAGCTTTATTGAGTGCCCGGGCTTGTCCGAGGAGCACACACATCCACTCCAAGAGAAGGGAAGAAGGTATCGTATTGGTTTTACACTGGGAGGAAATGGCCGACTGGAAAAATCATTTGGCGCCAGGCTATTAAGTGTTTTATATTTATCTCCACTGCTGCATCAACGCATTTTGTTCTCCTTTATAACTACTTAGGTCATGGAAATGAATACTCTACCGTCTGTGGTTTCCACACAGGAGCCCCGACGGGGACTGTTACACTCACGTGGCCCTTCCTCTGTATGAAAACTTGCGCATCGTGGAGCAGCCCGTGAACCTGAGCCGCCTGGCGCAGAAGTACGCTGAGAAAGCTACCCAGTTCATCCAGCACGCACGGTAAGGGGTCCTGTGGCCCAAGTGCCTGCCCCCGGCCCCCGCCCACCGAGTGCCCTGGCCTGGCTCGGCTCTCGCACAGCCGTGGATGGCCCACTCCCCTTGGCCGGCGGAGATGAACGCACACCTGTCTCCTGTGAACAGACCTGGGAAGCAGTCCTCCTGGAGCCCCCACGCCTGGATGTGAAGTGCCTGGGCCTCCTTGTGTTCCTGCTGAGGTCATGCTCTGCTGTCGGCACGTTTCACTTGTCCTCTCCTTCCAGGGCAGTGTATCTCCAGTGTATTTTGGGCACTCAAAGCATTTGATGAGTTTGTTAGTCCTTTCTTGGGTATGTTCCTTTTTTTTGTTGCTTTTGTGACAAACTTACCACCAACTTAATGGCTAAAATAACCGTAGTTTATTCTCCTACAGATCTGAAGGCTAGAATTAAAAGTGGACTTCACCTGAGGGAAACTGACCACTCCAGCTCCTTGAATGTGCAAGAACCACCCCCACCCAGCCCCTTGCTCAACCACATTGAACTTTTCTCGAGAGAAGGGCAGCAGGGAGGGTAGAGGCAGCAATGTAGTAGATCCGCTTTTGTTTTCTTGATAATAAAAACTATGTCAGGCCTAAATCTCCAGATTGGGGGTTCAGAGGTTGCCTCAAACCGGATTCTCAGGGCTTTCTGAGAAACACTGACTTTTGTGCAGATGGTCGACAGGAAAAGGGGAAAGACCCTTCTTCCATCTGGAGGGCTGAGTGTTTCTCTGCTCCTTGGAGCTCTGAGGTTGTTTCAGGCCGTGACAGGTGGACGCTTTGTGGCTATTGGGGAGCGGCCTCTCCTTTCACGGAGCCTCAAGCCGCACAGCCTTTGCAGAGGGACGGGTGGCCACCAGGGGCCTAGGGATGGTTTAGCACTTGCTCCGAAGAGAGCGTGATCCTGTTCATTCATTCACCAGTTCATTCATCAGTTAAAAGACAAACAAGTCAACAAATGCTCTACTTATCATGTGAAAAAGATGAAGAGTTTGCTGATTTATTCATCAGTTATTAGGTGAAAAGTCACCTGAATCCTGTTGGGTTTTGACTTAACGGAAAACAATCCTCAGGCACGCTGATTTCTTGAGGACTGGCCTGCCAGTTCCTTCGTGATTTTCAGAAAGTCAGCAGAAAAGGCCCCCAGGCCTGTGCTCCTTCCACCTCTGTGTCCCCCTCCCCACCCTGCATCGCTTTCCATCTGGACCTGTGCGTCAAAGCTACCAGGGTCCCTAGGGCGTGGGGTCCTCCTCCCCTCAGCACGGGGCCAGCCGTAGGACTCCTTTCAAAGTTTTACTTGGATCTTTCCTTGAATGTAGGCCCTTCATCTCGCATTGACGCTGAAAGCTAATCCGAGCCTTGGGTTTTGAAAGCAGCAGGCAGAGCTCTGACTTGACAAAAAGGGAGAGAGCAGATGGTGTGGACTCTGCTCCTTACAGGGTCTGGGACTGGGCGTTGAAGCTAATTGGGGGTAAGGTCGTGACAAGGATGAGGGTATTGGGCACAGGTATGAGGAGCAGCTAAGGATATTTAAAATCACAGTGTATGGTCTAAAGGTTACTGCAGAGGTTAAGGTAATCACCCAGGGTCAGACAGCCATGAAATAAAAATTCTTGAAATTTGGATACAGGTCTCCAAAGCCTGTTCTTCTCATCAGTCCACACCACCTCCTGATGGTTGCACGCCCCTTGCAGTCTCTGGCCCAGGGTGCTATCAGGGTGGCGATAATGGGTGGAGTTGGGGGGATAATGATGAGGGCTCAGATAAAGAGTAGGCAATGGGCACCTCCCAGCCCCCTGGTACTTGTTTAACACCTGGCACTTGGAGAAAAAAGCCCTAATTTGTAGCATTTGTCCACTTCTCTCTTACAAATACTCTCACCCTGGCTGATTTCAGGCTATCAATGTGCTGTCACCGAATATGGCATTGAAAAGAGATGTTTGGCACACCGTTATACAGTATTTCCATCCCACAGATACAGTAGATGAAAAATAACCTTGAGAGCATAGTCAATAGTGAAATGTAGTAGAATAATCAGGACATGATAAACCACGAGAATGTATCATTTTTGTTTATGATATAATTTATTTAATTGCAAGCTGATTTAATTTGATTTTAAACGTCAATCATGTTTAAAACTGGCTTGCAAAATTCCTGAAATGTGAGCCAGCTGTATCCAGCACGCCCCTGCAGTGTGGCGTCTACCTGCAAATCAGAAAAAGGCGCCCCTCTGGGTGGGCGCTGATCTGTGTCCGAGCGCCCCCTGGGCCGGTGGATTGTGGGCTGGTATTCAGCTCCCATTCACTTACCCAGCAGGATGTGCTCATGCGGGAGAGCAGGCAACAGACACTCTAAACCAGGACTATCCAGCAGGACTCCGTGAGGGTGAAAAAGGTCTCTATCTGTGTTGTCCATGATGGCAGCCGGTAGCCACCTGTGGCTACTGCCCATTTGAAATGTGGGTAGGGCCACTGAGATGCTGAATTTGTACAGACGTAATGGTAAATACATATACAAATTCACCTTTTTAGGCGTACAGTTCTGCGGCTGTAAGAACATTCACATTGTTCTACACCCATCACCACCATCCATCTCCAGAAATTTTCCACCATCCCAGACGAAACTCTGTGCCCATCAAACACCAGCCTCCCACTTTCCCTCCCCTCCAGGCCCTGGCCCCCCACCTCTCCACTTCCCGTCTCTGTGAGGTTGACCACTCTTTGTATTACCATGTAAGTGAGATCATGCAGCGTTTGTCCTCTGGTGACTGGCTTATTTCCATTGGTGCGTTGTCTTCTGTGTTGTAGCAAGTGAGATACAGAATTCTGTTTCATTTAATTTTCATTAATTGAAATCTAAATAGCCACACAGGACTCATGACTACTGCATTTGGACAGCCCAACTCTAGAGATGTTGAAGAGAAATCGCTGATTAAAATGGGGAAGGAGAAGCCCATGACTGGGACTTGCGTCCTGGGCTTTAAGTCTGTGAAAGAGAACTGAGTGCAGGCGCAGTCCCAGTTGGGAGACTCTGGGAGTCAGAAGCAGGGGACTCTCCAGGGCTCAAATTGGGGTGGTGCTGCCGGTGGGGTACTTGGAGAACTTGGTGTGGGGCGATGATGTAAATCAGGGTAAGCTGAGAGCACCGAGGCCAATTTGGAAGTCAGACCTCTAGGTGCACTGGGGTAGAAAGAGCCAGCCTCTATCCGCATTTGGTGGGAAGTTGACGGAGCTGCACCCTCACCCTCACTGTGTCCTCTGAGAGACTACTCCACAGGTGCGGCCTGTGGCAGAGAGCTGCGTGAGGGTTCTTGTGGCAGCAGGAGGGGACAGGTTGTGGTCCCACAGCTGCACTGATCCTGCTCCTAGCTTGGGAACAGCGCCCACCCTGGCTCCCAACATGCTTTCCATAGGAGTCTTCAGGGCCGGGCAACCTGGGTCTGTAACAAAACCCGGTCTAGATGCTCTGGGTGGTGATGTGCTTTGTTTGGCATTCCTTGTGGCCAACATGAGTTATCCATTCATTTTTTAGCCAGGGCCAAGTCTGAGAATGGATGTGACGGCCTGGATGCTGCAAAAAGCAGATAAAATTTAAAAATATGTTTGTACTGGACTTCAGCGTACAGCGGTTAGGAGCAGGGGCTTTCCTCTCGGCTGGGTGTAAGCTGGAACCCAAACTCTGTCACTTACTAGTGCATGAATTTGGACAAGTTCTTTAGTCTCCCTAAGCCTCTGATACTTCATCTGAAAAAGGGAACTTGGGGGTGATTATGAGAATGAATTTAGACAACGTGAGTCCCACTTAATGAGCTCTCAGGGAATCTGAAAGGACAGTAACTGTTATTACAATTACGTTCAGGTTTTAATTGGCTAACCTGTTTATCTCCACACATTCTAAGAAGGTTCTGGACAAGTAAGCACTCCGTATGCACGTAGGGCAGAAGGTGTTCTGGGTGTTTTCTCTGAGGCAAGGCAGAGGCGTGGACAAGACAGAGAGCCTTCTGGAGAGCGACGTCTCGGCTTTTCCCTTCCAGCACCAGCGGAAGACCGTTCCTGCTCTACGTGGGCCTGGCCCACATGCATGTTCCCTTACCTGAGACCCAGCTGTCGGCAGACCCGTGGGGCCGTGGGCCGTACGCTGCAGGCCTCCGGGAGATGGACAGCCTGATGGGCCGGATTAAAGACACAGTGGACCGCACAGCAAAAGAAAATACGTTCATCTGGTTTACAGGTAAAGTACTAAAACCCAGCCAACCTCTCTGAGATCTGACGGCTCACTCTGCCCCCACACCCCCACTAGTGTTTGTTGGCTTGAGTGCTAAGCACCTGTCCACTGGGGCCTCCGCGGCTCAGCCCCTAGAGAGGTTTGCACAGAAGGAGCAGGTAACCTGCTGGCCCGTTAAGAATTGATCGGGGTCATCTGGATATTGTTCTTAATTGTTAATGAATAACTTTTATATTGTGAACCTATATAGTCCACGGAGACTCTGGTTGCTACTGGTCACCAGATCACCAGGTCACACATCTTTTGGCGGAGAGGAGTTGAACCACTGAGCCATTTGGAGGGACCAGCCAGGCCTTGTGGGTCTCAGGTCCCTGTCTGCATGAGGGTAGTGGTTAAAACACTGCCTCTGGGTCACATAGAGACCTGGATCTGAATCTCTGTGCTACTGTTGAGAAGGTTCATCTCTCTGAGCCTCCGTTTCTTCATCTACAAAATGAAGCTGCCAGCGGAATCCAGTCCGTAGCATGTGGGAGGATCAGGAGATAATGTACGTGAAGCACGGGGCCCATCACAGGTGCTCAATAAGTAGCTGCCAGGCTGATGACGATGGCAATGAGACTGCTCAAAGTATATAGAAGGCAGAAGTCTGCAAGGCAAGGGCCTCAAGACGGGACTAGCTTGGGGGAAGGAAAGCCCACCTCTCTGAAAGCCCAACAGAGTTTCATCTGAAGGGCGGCCCTTCAAGGGTAGGGTGTATTTGATTTAACAAGCCCCTCTTTCTATCCAGGTCTCTGCTGTGCCCAGGGACGTAGGGCCCGAGAGAGAGAATCAGCAGAAGCGTCCACTAGCCTACAGACCTTTACCTGTTGTTTCTTTTGTTTTTTAGGGGACAACGGCCCGTGGGCTCAGAAATGTGAACTGGCGGGCAGCGTGGGTCCCTTCGCTGGGTCGTGGCAGGTTCGCCGAGGTAGGGAGTCAGCTGCGGGTGGCGGGTCCCACTGTGGGGGGCGGGGGCACGGGATTCTGCCTCTGGAAGGGCCAGGCCTTAGGGTGTGATTGTGAAATGGGGACAAGGTCCGCTGCAGTCACCAGGTCCCAGAAAAGAAACGACTGGGACGGAGAGGGCTTCTGTTCAGCCTGGAGCATCCTCCTCCCTCCTTTTCTCCCGGGCTCCCTCAGGGGGCCAGCCCTCCCCTGCCAGCTCGCCCGCAGCCCTCCCCACCGCTGTGCTTTCCCCTCACTTTCATCCTGCTGCGTGTCCTCATTCTCTGTCCCTTCTTTCCGTCTTTTTTTTTTAAAGTCATCCCTCCATTCATCCAACCATCAATTCCTTTCATTCATTCAGTAAATATTTAGTGCACAGCTACTGAAGGTTTCTGTATCCATTGTCTCTAAACCTCACAATCGTGGTAGGTAGGTTCATCACCGTTTATAGGTGAAGAAAGAGAGAAGCTCAGAGAGGCCAGCAACCTGCCCGTGGTCACACCGTTTGTGAGGAGGGGGCCAGGCTTGCTATCAGGCTGAAGCTGGTGATCTTCCCACTACACCACACCTCCTTTCCCTATTGAAACGCCCTTTGGCTCAGCACCCATGTGCTCTGGGAAATTTTCCCTACCAGGCCCTGACTCTTCTGAGAGAGCAGCCATTTGGGGGACAGTTTCGGTGGTGTGGCCCAAACCCCGAAAAAGGCACATGCCTGTTGAGGCCTCAGTTTCTCCTCTAAGAATTTGTCCTGAAGCAATAAATAGCCAAGCACACAATGGGGTGTGTAAAATGATGCTATTGCAGTAGATTTTTAAAATAACAAGTGGACATAACCCAAGCATCCAGTAGTAGAGGAGTGATAAAGAAATTATGATACATCTGTTTGAAGAAATGCTAAGGACCCCCTGAAATGCTGCATATCATTGATCTGGAAACAGGTACATTAAATACTTTTCAGTGAACAAAGCAGGTTACAAAACAATACGTAAAAGATAATTTTAGTATGTGAAAATAAGCATAATTATTCTCAGGAAATTAAAAGAGGTGAGGAAAGGTAACAAAAGATTAGCAGTAATTACTTATGGGTAGCAGAGGGAGGGTTTAAATGTGGTCCCCCCCCCCACAATTAACTGGTATTGTTAATACATATCTGAAAAAATTAAGTTCTTTAGAAGGTGCTTGTATCCAAGGGATTTGGAGGTGGACTTGGTGACATTACCTGCTGGGCCTGGGTTTTCCTGCTGTTCAGCTCAGTCCCGAGCTACGGTCCCCGCTGTCCGGGTCAAATGACACAAAGCCCCTTTCATATTAGTCTGGCAGAATGTTTGTAGTTTCCTAGGACTGGAATCTTTGTGTTCCGCATGGCTGGGGGCAAGATGAACGTGCTGATCATTCCTTCTTATTTGTCTTTAAGCTGGTATTCCTTGGCTCAGATCCCTGGAGAACTTTACAAGCGAGCGGCTGCCAGGACTGTGGCCCTGTGTGGTGTCAGGGAGCTGAGTGAGGAGCCAGGGAACAGGGCACCACCTCCCGTCCTCTGCGCAGTGAGCAGACACTTTATCTTTTGGGGCTGGTGTTGCTGCTGTTTCTCTCTCCGTTGATCTCCGTGGTTCTCTCCAGTTCCAGAATGCTGTAATTTAGTCCTGGCTGCTGGAGAGCTGGACCAGGAAAGATCCCAGGAGCGGAGGTGGGTGGAACCGTGTCCAATACCTGCAACAGCAGCCTAGGCAGGGGTGTCCTAAGCTGTGGCCCTCGGGCCACATGCATCCCAGGATGGCTGTGAATGTGGCCCAACACAAAATCATAAATTTGCTTAAAACATTGTAAGATTATTTTTTGTGTGATTATGTGTTGTGGTGTATTTAATGTGTGGCTCAAGACCACTCTTCTTCCAGTGTGCCCCAGAGATGCCAAAAGGGAGAAACAGTGTTAAGCTGAGAGTGATTATTTGCATTAGCTGGTGACAGTCCCTCCTCTAGTGCCTGGGACACCCTCAGGCCAGGCTGCCCTCTTCAGCTCAGTGGGAGAGCCTGGGGAGCCTGGGGTCAGAACTCTGGAGGGTAAGAATCTGGAAGGCCTGGAAAGCCAGGATGGGGGGACAGGGCCTGTCAGTAAGGGGCTCCTCTGTGGGGAGCTCTCTGTTCTCCCAAAGTTGATCTCTGATCTCCTGCCTGAAGGCCTGCCTCATCTTGCCTCTTCCCTGTCATATGAGGCAGTTTTGAAATATTGAATCCAGCTTAAGGATGTGGCTGGGGTCCATTCTTTGAGGCAAGGACCTAGCCCTAGGAGAAACACATTTACTAGCTGGGCCTGGGCAACCTCCTTCTCTTCCCTCCTTCCATTTCTTGAGCATGGACTGTGGGCCAGGAACTGAGTGCTGGGAACACAAAGACCCACGAAGCCCCTGGCTTTAAGGAATGACAGTCTAGAGCAGAGCTTCTCAGACTCTCATGAGCAGACAGTCCCCCGGGGATCCTGCTAAGATGCTGCTCTGACTCTCAGTGGCTCTGGGATGGCGATGGAGATGTTACCTGTCCAGTAAGCTCCTAGGTGACACTGATGCATCCAGTCCAGGGACCACACTTGGAGAACAGCCAGTCTAGAATATCCACTTCTAGACCCTGTTGATTCTAGACTCATCGAAGTCTGGACCTTTCGGATGTGAACCAGAAGTTATCGAGGGTGGTCCTGGCCCAGCAGCATTAGTGCCACCTGAGAACCGTTAGCCACAGAAATTCTAGGGTTGCACCCCAGACTTTCTGGGGTAGGCTCAGGAATCTGTGTCTTAACAAGTCCTTCAGATGACTGTGATGTGGGTTAAAGTTTGAGAACTGCCAGTCTAGAGCTGCACCGCCCCACACACCGGGCAGTGGCCACGTGTTCCTTAGCCACCTTAGCCACACTTTGAGAGCTCAGAAGCCACCTGCAGCTGGTGGCTACCGTACCGGACAGTGCAAATAGGAAACATTTGCATCGTGGCAGAAAATTCTGCTGGACAGTACTGGGAGGGAACGTATAAGCAGGTCATCATGCTACAGGGCATGAACTCCATGGTGGCAGGGAGCACAGGCGCCTCTCACTGACTGGGATGGGGAACAGGAAGGCTGCCCTGAGTGGTTAGGTTTGCAGAATGAGTAGGAGATGGCCAGGGACATTCAAGAGAGGGGGCTCGGGGCTGCCTGGGCAGAGGTGGGAAGACCAGACAGTAGGGGCTGCCCAGCCATCTGTGCCTAGAGCTCGTGGGAGCAGAGAGACAAGGCCGGGGCCGGTGTCCGACAGTCTTTTCTTTCAGGCACACACTTCGGCCATTATTCTAAAGAAACGAGGAATCATGCGAGGGTTTTAAGAGTGAGAGTGACATTATTCAATTTTGAAAATGGAGGTGGGATTCACGTGACATGGAATTACCCACTCTAACCTGCACCATTTGGTGGCATTGGGCGCACTCAGTGTCATGCCGCCCGCTGTCACCTCTGCCAAGACCCTAACATTTCCATCGTCCCCAGAGAAAACCCCATGCACCTTCAACACCTCCTCCCCATTTCTCACTCCTCCTGGCACCTCGCTCTGGTTTTTAAAGACCCCTCTAATGCCAGTGAGGGAGAGGGCAGCAAGGACGGACTTGCTTCCCCTGAGCCCAAGGCGATAAATGAGAGAAGCAAGAGACAGTCTCCAGGAACACCCCTGCATTCGAAGCACACCAGGGTCGGAGGAGACCTCAGTGGTCTTTACTCCAGCAGCCCTGTTGGCCAAGTGAGGAAACTGAGGCTGAGCAGGTGGAGAGCTTTTCCAAGGCCGTTGATCAAGGAGGTCACATTGATTGGCCCCAGTGGCTCAGTCCACACCCCCGAGATTGTCCTGGGGACAGTCATGCCCTGTTCTATGGGACTGACGACTCAGCCGTCTGGAACACCTGCCCTGCTTCCCTGGACCCCGTGGGAATCGAGGACAATGTGTGGAGCCCCTGTGACCGTCTGAGTCTTCCTAAGCCCCTGGGAGGCAGACCGCAGGGGTGGAAAGAAGGAATGGCTGTGGAGGCCCAGGTTGGGCTTGACTGTCCCCTGAGTTTAGGAGCCGGTGCCTGCGGCGCACTGCTCCCTTTCAGCCCGTCTCCTCCTCTGCGATGAGGGTGACAGACCCGTCTCACTGGGTGACCGGGAGGGTCCACCGGACTGTTGGCTGGGAGGCACTCAGCCTCTGTGCTGGGCCTTCACCAACTCCCCCAAGACTCGATTTCTTCCCTCCCAGCTGAAACAGAGTGGGGGACAACAAAGGGAAGGGTGCCCTAAGGAGATTTTCCTACTAGGCCATCCAGGCAATGTCAATAATATGTGGATACATTTCCAAGGGTTCTGGGCCTCTGTCTTGGGAAACTGGGCCCAGAAGCCGGATTTCAGTGATCTTAGGAGAACACTCTTTGGGGCAAGAGCTTTCCCAAGTGTTGTGGCTTCGTGCGGAATCTGAGCGGCAGGCACGGCACCTGAGTTCATGGCGGGGCTGGGGCTGGGTCTGTTTTCTTCTCTTCTCAGGGGGCAAACTTGGCCTAGTAGTGAATACTTCATCGTCTCCATTCTCTAGACCAGCTTTCTGTCAACTATTCCACAGGCTCCCTCCTCCTCTCTGCCTGGGAAGACAGGCAGAGCCCCATGTGGAAGGCCATTTGCCCAGGGCTCAGGTCAGCTTAGCTGGGGGCCCTTCTTGACCACCTGCTCCTCCTCACCCAAGTTCCTCGTCCGTGGGATGCCTGCACGTCCTGCTGTAAGGGGCCAGCTTTTGGAGCAGATGAAAGAGAGAAGACAGTGAGTGTTTTTGCAGTGAAGTAGGACAAACAGTACCCAGAGCCCTGCTTCTTCCACCCTGCAGCCAGCCCCACACGTCAGGCCCCATGCCGCCTTGTCCTGTTCTCAGGCCCCCCAGCCCCCCTCCTCGTCTTCCCTTTCCTTTCCTGGCCAAGCTGCCGTGCTCAGCTGATGGGATGAGGCA